TTGAGGGGAGAGATTATGTGTTTACGATTTTGATTTTCAAATGAGCAAAATATTGCAATGGTTAAAGAGTTTGGGGGTTAAATATAAACAAATACAGTTAGATTAAATATCAATTTAATTAATACTGCCAATTATTGCTTACCTCGGAAATAAATAATTCTGGCGTTTCATCAAAATTCTTAAACAACAGTTTCTGGAATATTCTCTTCTCCTTTATATTTGGCAGTATAAACTGTTCCATAACCACCAGATCCGATCTGTTTGAGTTCGTAAAAGTCGCTATACTGCATGCACTCAACACGTTCATTATTTCGTATAAACCTGTCCAATATCTGACGTATTTCATAGTAGAAAACTAAATAATATTCCCGAGTAGATGGCTCCTGAGTAATCCCAATTATCCAAATATTCTCGGGTGTTAATATCTCGGGGTATTCCTTGGTTAGCTATTTGAGTAAACAAATACAGTCGTTACAACAATAATCTGCACGTTAATAATACTATTTGCATTTTACACGTGAAATAATTTACCTGGTGAAAATCAAATGACTGATCGTCCCCTTCGTCAACTATTAGAGTGTCACACGTGTCAATTCGTTTGCTGTCCATTCTGCTATATGTGTACATCCATGGCGTAATGATGTCATCTCTTGTATGTTTGTTAATAGAGAGTATTTGATCCATTGTATATAGGCATCACATTTATTGATCACGTTACTCCATGGCTCTATAATAAATGCATCCAAAGACTTGTTGCCAGTCGTCCAATCTGGTGGTCGTGGTGCTTTACATTTATAACAGAATGCATTTATCTCAGGTTCTAATCGACGTGTACACGCCAGACATAGTCCATCCTCATCCTCTTTTATTAGATAATACTTTTGTTTACTTGTATCATATGTAAACCCGATGGTAACCCAAACATCCGTGGTAAGAATATCTGGATGCTTATCACATAACTAGTGGAAACGATACATAATAATATGTCAATAATTATTTAAACCATTCAACAAACATGACGCATAAGTAAATGGTTTACCTCGGCATAATATAAATCATGTGTCGAATCTGTTATCTCAAGTGGAATCAATTTAACACGTACATCAATTGATGTAGGTAGACCATACGAGTATACACTATATCCCTTGTCATAAATACAATCGTATGGAATCCATTCCAAATAGGCATGATTTGGTGAGTTTGTTTGTAATTGAGATTTCTTAACAAACTCATCGAGTTGCTTATTATTGCTAGTCCATCCATCGGATACTTCTTTATGACCGCAAATGCACCACACGGGACTACATCGGAGTATCCCACATGCGGAGCAGAATCCATATCGAGAATAGCAACGGTAAAAGCGTTCATCAGCAACCATGTAATAGTTGTCATTAGACTTTGTAAACCCTTTTATGAGTTTGTTGCGATATGTAAGCCATTTATAATATCTTCTGAACTGATTAACGTCATTGTCGTACTTGTGTGTCGGAAGTGAGTATATTCTAGCAAACTCACCCACTAGTGTTGGTGTACAGGTTTCATCGCTTCCAAAGAATACCAGCGTTATCTTCAATTCATGAACTTTACCACTACGTAACGTTACTTCACGGATAGCATAGTAGATAGTGTCAATATGAGTTGGCTCTATGTCGGTAATATCTGAGCAAGGAATCCATGCAAGTCTTAAGTATTTGTCTTCACTTTCCAAGGAGGATTGAACTAAGTTGTCAATTACTGGATTATTAACAGTCCCTGATGCTAACGACATAGTTGAATAAGGTTTCAAGTACAAGCATTCTCGATGTTTATTATTATTGTGTTTACATCACACGGATCTCCAAGCAGTTTATGTGGTGCACATTGATACGTACGTATGTTTACCACGCGATAATTAGTTCCGTATTATTAGTAAAGAGAGTCTCTGCAACGCCTAATAAACAAAAGAATTAACCATCATAGATGGTTGATCACGTAACAAAAAGATAAACTATTCTACTCACCTCGCCTTAGCGTTTCGGGTAGTCAAATTTGTCATAGTAACAGCGAACTAGAAAACATACCACCCATGTTACATTTAGGCTATATGAAAAGCGATTTATTTTTGTACGTTGTCCATGTCTACTAGTTGCAAACAACATAATAACTGAATTTGCAATCCAGAACATTCAAATTGTTGGGGGGAAGCTTACAACTCAGAGTCATAAGCTAAACAATAATTAGCACAAAGCATGTCTTCACATTATCATTAAAAAAAAAACGGTCATTGGATTTGAGAAATTTCCGATATAGAATACTTTTGTCGTATTATTCTAGCAAACAGATAATTAATAATATTGATATTAATACAGGCGACGGTTATCACAATTTAATTGATAGATTGCAATGAGCTATATGAATTGTTATCGCATGAGTTAATAAAAAGTACACGATGCGCAAGAAGCAATAACCTGAAAGAGTAACTCCCAAACTGATATTGATAACGATAACCAATTTAATATTAGGCAAGTTAACGTTAGATTGAAAAATAAAAGTGTAAACCATAGAAAAAACATTAATATAACAGCATTACATTATTAAATTAAATTTGCACCATAGCGATCAAAGATGGCTTTGGGATCGAGTATGTAATCATTCTGGTACTTTATTATTATTATATTTCAAGAGCACGCCAATAAAATTATGCTTACAAAATCGACCATGGTTAAAGTAGCGAAATGCAAAGCCAAAGCTCATTCACTGTTATGTTATTTAACAATCGACCCAAGATAGATTGTGATTGCTTTAACGTCAAGACAATGAATGGCGTTAGATTCACTTTGTAAGCATGGTAATTAGTAAACGATTGTTCATCGTATCAAGGGTGGCGTTGTGGCGTTGGACAAATTTGACCCTTGTAACGTTACTTATTTTTAACCTTAAGAACATGCCCAATTCTTCCCAAAAATCATGAATAATAGATTATCATCTTCTCATGTTCTGTTTGGAATACTGGTAGCATTATCAACACCAATATTAATCAACTTTATTAGGAACAACTACATTCTATCAAATTTTCGATTACTATATTATCCCGCCCAATATCATGGTAACCATATCTCTTCCGACTATTTCGAGGGCTGGTACTTCAAACTAGTTAGTGAGGACAAGACTGCTTCGCTGGCTGTCATTCCAGGAATATTCAAAGGAAACATTGGATACAAAAGTATTCGCAAAGAAAACAGCAAAAGCGACGCTGATAACTATCACAAACATAACGACTATTCTCTCGATGACTCTCATGCATTCGTTTTGTTGATAAACAGAGGCCACGAATGTCTTTATTATCGTTACGATGTTAATGAGTTTAAGTCTGTGAACACAAAAGAGAAGGATGCTTTCCAAATAACGATCGGACATAACCACTTTCGACACGATGAGATGGTCCTATCGCTTCCATCTTCTCACTTGTGGCAGCCAACCGATTCAGAATACGAAACTTTTTTATCATCAGTGATGACAGATTATCGTCGTCTTCTTCCGGCAGAGAATAATACAACAGAGCTCGAGGTTGTGCGTCATCCACATATTCCATACTCAATACGCGGAGTAATTGCATTCGAGAATGTGACACCATTAAAGTCTACCATGACTATTCCGTCTGTGATGGGTATATTTCAATATATTCCATGGCTGGAATGTTTTCATCAAATTATTAGTCTTGATCATATTGTGCATGGAGAGATAACATTCATTAACGACAAGTTTGTTGAGACGAGTATCGATTTGGAGAATGGGAGAGGATACATTGAGAAGGACTGGGGAATCAATTTTCCGAAAACGTGGATTTGGGCCCAATCTAACAATTTTATAAAGGAAGCTGGTAATTCCATACTGGTAAGTAAGCCGGTAGGCATCAATAGTGGATTAGGACATATTTTGCTTTTCGACTCACCTTACCAACCGATGCTTCCTCTCCCCATTCAGATATCAATCGCCGAGGTACCGCTTGTGCAGTCATTCTATCACATAGCGGGAGCTTTGATCGTGGTCCATCATTCCAGTACTAATGTCACATACAACTTCAGTACATACAAGCTACCTCATCGTCATTCGCTCAAAGTTACACTTGATCCGACTACTCACATTCAAAACGTTTATCTGCATGTGTCTGACAGAGACAACAACCATTTAGAAGTTAACGTATGGAGAAAAGCAGGCACCGGAGTTCCATTACGTGCTCCTAATAAAGAGCACAAGAAGATGATATTGACTGTTGAAGAGAATCTGGATGCAGAGATGACTGTCAAGATGTGGAATGGAAATGAAGGTGGAGACGTCGAGGTTATTATGGATGATACAGCTGTATCGGCTGGACTGGAGATTGTTGGAGATGTCGTGAAGTTGGGAAAAGAATATGCCGGATGACAAGGGTACTGTGCACAGAGCGGGGATCTTAATAGTAGACATAATTTTAAAATAGACACTCAATATCAGTATCGATTTCTTAATCAATAATATACGTAAGAGACCATTTTATTTATCAATCTATGCCTCAATAGACTGCAAAAACAAATGTTGCTGTAAATCATAAGGGACTTTCCACCATTACTAGATATTGGTGTACGTTCAATCGAATTACCAGCAAGAACAAATTATAATGGCAGTGTCTAGATGTCTAATATAGATGCGTTTCTCAGCAATGACAGCCATTAGCATTTTAGATCCAAATTGTAAGTTCGAGTCGAACTTTATGTGACATTGCTTACATTAGAATGCTCACAAGAAGATGTACGCCACAGTTACTCAGAGGGTACGGGTGATAGCATAATTATTGGTGTGCACACAAAAGTAGGTGCCAAATTGGACTTGTTTGGTAAAATAGATACCATTGATGTTCCAGTTATGACGCGTATTTTGGTGTTTAGTAAACCGGTACGCGACAAATAACCACAAGTGTTTGATAAAGATGATGGCACAGAAAAAGACTCCATGTTATGAAGACTTTGGATACCAAGATATCAAGTCTACAATAAAGATTCAATCAAGCCAGGCAGAATTCGACTTGGTTATATTTCAAGGCTCAAGAGATAGAAACTGGATTAGATGAACAATCACGGGAGAGCTAACTCTTGTGATTAGTTAGTGACACTTACTACTCACGACCTTGTGTCGATCGGTAGATACTAATCCTAGACGGTTATTCGCCTTCGAGTTACCCTTCCGATGGGCTCTCCACGTTGCCAACAAAGGAAGAACATCTACGAAAGATGGCGAGGTGTGTTAATTCGGAAGCCTATAGGATGGGGGTATACTTGTATTTACGTCTCATCATAGGCAAATGGCAATCTTAATATCACGAGAATATCCACGGGACAGGAAGCAAATATTACTAATCGATATAGGGATTAGCGGTTTCACAACCATACCGATAATTTACCAGGTAACGACACCTCATAATGTATTTCAGGGTACAACAGAACTTTTCTTCGTAAAAAGGGTTCTACTCCGCATGTGGAATACTCCGATGCAGTCCCGTGTGGTGCACTTGTGGACATGAAGATGGATGGACTTATAACGAACTACGCGTTTATTAGAAATGTTTATGATAATAAAGGAATCGCAATAATTCACACCACGCACTACGCACATTGAAATCTACGCTGCTCATATATCTTCGAAAATACTAATGATCAATTATTAGAAACGTTTAATATTCCTGACGGGATCCGTTCATTTCCCCGACAATTATTTCCCGAAAAATATTCCGACACTAGTCGTTAATACGTCTAAATTTGTCCACCAGAGTTATATTACCTAGCACAAAAAAGATAACTTCGAAATAATTGTTGGGGAATAATTGTCGGGGAAATGAACCAGACCCCCCCCCCCCTTTGCTGACTTACTGTGCTGTCGTCGTAATCGGTGTACGCGATGTTGGCTGTATTTTCTAAATTTAATTATTGATTGCGATTGTACTATTATTGTTATTGCTGTTTGTCACTTTTGGATACTAAATAACAAACAACGCATGATCAAAATTAGGCGGAAATACGTCATAATTAATATTAGTAACAACGTTTCAGAAAAATATTGTCATGTGCTCCTGTAGACAACTGTAAATCCAATAATAAAATCCAATCGTTGACCAACTTTTCCTTGACTTTCCACCAACGTTCCCTCGATTTGTGTTGCATCCGCTAAGCCGCTTATTTTTACACCTGGGTTTCTTTTTTAACTAAAGCCCGCGTGACAGTTGTTCTCCCGCTAGTTGACACTCAATAAGATGACTATACTATCTTTTAATTCGCAGAACTGGATTACATAATACTGTCTCTGCATTAGAAAAGCTTGGCAACCTGTGTTGTGTATTTCCACTATATATTAAAAATCTGATTATGAAAATTCCCTTTTTTTCCCCCCTCTTCGAGTCTAGAAACCTTCCCGCTGAAAAGTCCACATTTATAGTAAACATGGCAATGGCGATGTCGAATAGCGAGGGTAACTTCATGGGGTGCGATTAATACGTTTGCATTCAGTAATTATAATTGCAATAGTCTCGTGCTTTTATCACATGACATAAAATAAAATGCTTTGCCCAATAGATTGTGCGTAGCATTTGAGAATTCCAAGTTATTAATTACCCTGGAGGAAAACCGCATCATGACGACTCACGATAATTTCTAAAAATTTCGGTTATGCCATATTCTCTCTATAAAACGGAAGCAATTATCGAACAACATCTCGGCTTAACTTGCGTGAAATTCACGATTTTGATACTCTCAGCCAATCATTATCGCGCTATAATAACGTTATCCATATTAAGTAAGAGTTTCTCGCCGAAGCTTTCGAGAGTATTTTTGGTAAATAGTGGGCTGTATAATTAACCATGAGCAAGTGCTGGCCGCAATATTATGTAATGATTGCTTCATTACACCATAATCGGACTCAACCCGTGTATTTGATAGCTAACGCCAGTATATTAGTTACGTCCCGCAATTGAGGTCTCGGCAAAAAGTTTAACAGCAAAATGGTTTTACCAAAACTGTGTTCAACGTAGAAAGTTAATTTATGACCTAGTCAATTTAACACGTCGAGGAATTAATCCAGTCAGCTACACTTTTAAAGTATTTTTATCACTTATACTTTAGGATGTAAATACCAGTTATAAATAGAGTCTATTATTAACGCTTGTATATTGAAGACTTGGTCAATTCCCAACGCAGTAAACACCCAAATATCTATGAATATATAATTGACCGGAAAATAATATTCCCATCGCATTATGCAAGTACCCCCCGTTCAATTACCATCTTGGCGATTCAATGTTCTTGTACAAGAAAAATTTGGCTAACAACTGATTGTGGGACAAACTCTTTCTCCCAGTTTCGAAACAGATTGATCCCGATAACGCAGTCGTTTATTCATTGCCAACTCTTTCATATGCCCCCTCAATTATATACGTAGAACAAGGCGTTCCTCAAACTCGCAGTGATTTCTAAAAGTAACAAATGGCAAGTAAATTCGCTAAATGAAGTAAACTTGTATACACTTTCTCGTCACTGTTGATAATCACAGTACATTTTACAGTAACACACACATACACAACACCCCCCCTCGAGTTTTCCGCCAAATCATCCCCTGCGTAGTTGCTGCATGTGATGACGTGCCACTAAAAACATAATAAACCCCTTGGTTTGATCTAGGTATTTTGAGACGTATTTATTTATGATTAGGAAAGCCCGCCTTTCTATTTTTATTCATGCAGACATTTTTACTTGATTTTGAAACATTGGGAAATACTACTGTGTGTTATTAATATTAATATTATTACTGTTTTCTATATTTACATTTTATTTTTTAAAAAAACCATCTCTTTTCAGCGTATAACCCAATTTATGTTACTAAGAATCCCATTCCCAAACTTGTCGTATCCACTTTTTCATATTGACTTTTCTTGTTTTAGACCAGCTTATAAACGGATGTTCGATTAATGTACTTGGAGTCGGCCGATGTATTGGATCTTTAATCAAACTATCAAGATAAAAAAAATGATAAAGAACCACGATCAGTAAGTAACGCAATTTGCTATTTCAAAATGGCAGTGTCTACGCCAAATACCTATTACTATATACTTACCAAGTTTTAGTAAAGCATCTCAACTCGTCACTCCATGAATTTGAATTACCCAACTCTGGTGGCTGATCTCTAACTATTTTCATAAGCAATCCGAGGAGCGAAACGCTGTCCTTAGTATTGTACGGATATTTGTTCCCTGCCAACTCTATTATAATGATTCCAAGCGACCAGACTAAATTGGTAATAGTATACGAATCGCCTTTGATTCGTTCGGGCTAAGAAAGAGCATGATGGGCAGAATAAGAGTGATTAGAAACATAAGGTATGGAAATATGAATAACAAGAAAAGCATTAAATCAGAATAGTGTCAATTTACCGATGCGTAAATTGGTTTGGGTGCAGACACTTGACTCATGATGCACGAGTCGGTATAAAAGGAACCGTATTCATTGAGTTTAATCTCGCCTTCACGAGTTACAAATATATTACGAGGCTGTAGTTCTATTGAGAAATAATAAAAAAGTAATGTTAAATAACCAATAACATAATGTCCCCCAAAAAAAGTAGTGATGGCATATGAAAGACAAATGGCGAAGCTTTACCTGTTACATCTATGCATTTACTCTCAAGAAAGGCTAATCCGTTTAATACCTGCAATTATACATAGACAATGTGTATACGATCGCATGAGTCTTCTCAATATTGTTCCATCTTTCACCACCATCACCACCACCACCATCACCACCACCATCACCATCATCCGTATCCAAACTTACCCCTTCACATATTTTACCCAAGACAACCTCTCCGACGATTCCATTTCTTTTTACAACAGTTTTCGCGATCGATTCCAAATTTCCGCCTTCGCAGAATTCAGAGAGTACATAAACAGAACTTGCATCAGCGGACGTTCCATATACACGGACGAGGTTTGGATGTACAAGCGTTCGAAGTAATGCCACCTCGTTCGCTATAGAAGCGTAGTGGCGAGGCAACAAACTAGGCTGCGTATTGAATGCCTTCAGGACGAATACAAATTGGGAGTTAGTTTCTACCCCGGTAGACAAGACTAATTTGTCGATACTATTCGATCACAAAAAGTCAACTCACCTTCCGGACGACACGGAGTCCCGAGTGTATGCATAACATGATGTCCAAGTCAAATGATAATCTCTCCACAGACTGTAGATTATTTGTCGGTAGCCAACATTCCATTTGTTCAAACTGTTTGTTTTTGACTTCCTTGGCTCGAGCTGATTTTTCGATACTCAGACGAGCATGTACTGATTTGTTCCTGCGCAGGGAAAGACGAAATCTGCTTTGTGTATGCTGAAGTGTTTGAGCCATTGAAATAAATTTGTCTGAATAGTTGATCGTAATGAGGTAGTTTATAGGTATTATATCAAGGTCGTTATCGGAATACGGACATTGATTTCTACTATAGGCGGGGTTTTTAGTTGTTTTTTTGCAATGAATATATACAAATACAGATGAACCGTTTATCTGTTCTTGTACGGAGATGTATTTTTTTCCCTTGCAGTTATATATGTTTTTTGCTTTATAATATTTTTTATACTAGACAACTCGACTCAGCCCTCCATTGAATTACCCCTCAATGATTTTGCCAAGTGTCTTTCTGGTCTTTGTATTTCAAATAAGCGTTACACGCATAGCCGATGGCACAAAAGGTTAAAAATTTGTTTGTTCACATATATAACACATCTTTCTATATTTCGACTAATGTGTATTTAAAAATAACGTGCTAAAAATAGTGTGTGTTCCGTATAAATAATAAGAGGGGTTTGATGTTATTGATCCAGTCCCAAATAGACGGATAGAAATTTCAGGGGCTATCAACAAACATTTTATCTATTTGCAAATCTATTTGTTAAACTCTGTTTTCAAAAACCCGACGGTTGCTCTCCTTGTTTAGTTAGATCTGAGTCGCAAACTTTTCGTTCTCAGCATTGTTAAAGCTTGACATTTTAGTCATATCGAATATTGCTACGTTATATAACATCAATGATTGTATTTAACCGGCTTTATGTTATTGCTTACGCATCGCATATTCGCATAGAAACCGTACTTGGTGTCGCCTACCCTTTTCATATTTATGTTTATATTTGATTTTGTAACGTCGAATAGACAAACCGCTTGAGAAATCAAGAAAATATCATCTTTGTGAGATGGTCCACTCACGTATAGGTGTAGCCCCATGCAAGAAAAAGCCGTGATCTTCCAATCGTATCGATAATTGTGAATTGTTGCATCTGATAGTCGACAAGCATTGCAGATTAAACCTCTACTTGGTGCGTTGCCCATAAACTTTGCAAATTACTGTCTCCTATCTTGTGCATTCAATTTTGGACCCCTTTTCTACAAGAATGGAGTTTGTAATCATCGAAAGGGTTAAGTATTAACGATATGAACTGCGATCATATGCATAAATATCATAATTTCACAGGCTGATCGGCATATATTCTCCGTTATTAGTATTTATTTACGTAAATATCGGTAATCTTGACAAGCCGACTAATCCAAGAGCGTAACTGCTTCCGATATGGCTACCACTCTACTTTTAATATTGACATCATCGACACTGCATTAATAATAGTAACCAAAGTACTCTAATCAATGCGCAAGTGTTTCTCTACAATCGATTATGTGAAACTAAACGTAAATGTAAATCACCTGTATTTAATCACTGGGTGTCAACGTCAGCTACCAAGAGAAAGCTAATAATAAAAATAAATTATTTTTAGTTTGTTTGCTGCCTTGCAAGATATAATTATGGCGTTGGCCTTTAAGATACGCATTTTGGAAAGAAGTTTTGTAATTTAGCATTATTATTATTATAACGTACCGCAACTTATTAATTTATAAATATTACTATTATTAGTAATAAATTTAAACCACTTCTTGAAGCCAACATTATGCCTCTAGAGATGTTAGCTACACCTCAATAATACATTTTTCTTCTTACTCTCCTAAAATTTCGTCTGTAAAAATTATTAACATCTCTAATTAATAGACACAACTACACAATCTTTTGATTAGGTTGGTTCTTGGACGTGTGAAATAAGCGAACAAAAAATTGTTAAAAGTACCAAAAAGTATTGGCCATGACATTCTGCTTACAGAAAATCTAGAATAATTGTTTTTTATAAAGGGGGTTGTAACATTTTGGAAAAGTACACAAAAATTTCTTTGTATTTGGCGATTACGCTTCATCAGATGATATGGCGACAGCTCAAGAACAACAAAACAAATGAAACCCATTATTGAAAACAATCTTTATAAAAAGTGTTATTGTTTAAAACAAAACAGGAATGATTTTATCTATTAATTAGATTAGAGGAAAAAGCCATACCTAAATATTTTGAGAGTTGATATTGAGCCAAAATTTTCGACGTCAAGTGTAACATTTTTAATGTCCCAACTCTGGTCATGAAATTAAGACTGGAGTGACTGGCTTATCTGTAACGAACCAATCAAAGTTTTCGAACAAATCTGGACCAATGGAATTGCAGAATCGTCGGAGAAATTTGCTGTGTGAGTTGTTTACGCCACAAGCTGCATATCAGCCGCATTCCGCAGTACTTTGTGGCTTGGCGCACGTATTCTTAAAAAGCAAATTGCGTATCCCTTTGTTCTTTAACGCTCGTTCTGGGACCAAAGCGTAACAACGACCTCGATGAGCCTCTACGCTCGGCAACTGTTCTTCCGTATCAGGTCAAGCTCAACTGTGTGTACCAAAACTTTGCGTTTACGTACACTTCACTCACGCAACCTAGGGCATTGTGCCAATGCCTCATTAGAACTGCCACATAAGCCAAAATAAAATTAAACAAATTGTGACTGCCGTGGCCTGATGGCTCGTGTCGGACACGTATCGTGATTTAATAACCAGACTGACGAATGCTTTCTTTTAGTAAGGCGCTGGTCTTAAAAACAAACTCGTATACTACACAACTTTTATGACAACCAAACATGGTAGATGGCATGCTACTCAATTGTTGGTTCATGGCGAAACTCCTCCTGTCGACCGCATTTTCACTGTCGAAATCGCGAAGCCCAAAACTGTTGCCATGCGAAAGAAAGCAATCAAAGAGGTAATTTCCACAGCATCGATGCCGACCAGCTCACTCTCTGGAAACTCTCGCTTTCCCTTGGCAGCAGTGTCGACAAGGTGCTCAAACAGCTTGTGCTTGAAGATAATGTCACAAAAAGCATTCAAAAATTGCTCCCAGCAAAGAAGTTATCAAGGCTATTTCAGTAATGGACCTGCCAAAGAACACCTTCATGTAATTGTTGAGCCTCCATCCATACCTGTTGGTGAGTAGCATATTCATGTCTATAATACTGTCATGTAGATCTAATAAATATTTTTTCCATCCATCTTCTGTATCATCCACTCATTATCTGTGCATCATCTCTGTACTATTTACCAAAGTTCCTTCAAAAAGAGAGTGTGAGCAAGAACCTGAGGCTCCACAAAAGGTTCAAAAGATTCTTGGCATCACGAGTGTTTATGCTAATTTAAGAAGTTATGCATCGCGGAATGTTTTGCTTTGGCTAGTTATGTAATAAAGATTTATTACCATTCACATAGCAAGAAGAAGCTTAAACGAGTATTTTCAGTTGCACAAAATAGTCTTTTATGGGAATAAATTAGAAAAACAAATCCGGGCGCGCAAAAAATTATGGCATTTCAGGGAACAATTTAAGCTAATAAAAATAACCATAAAAAATCGTCACAATGTGTAGCGCTAGTACTGTAGTACTAGTCATAGTTATCAAAGGCGTCTCAACAAAAAAAGGAAATTTATTTTTAGCAAACTAATTTTGTCAAAGGTTTGCCAATCAATTTGCCAAAAACGGCAAATATGTAATACGTCTATATTGTGCAGCGGATTTTGTAATCCGTAACCCAGACATTATGTTAACATCAGAATGAATAATAGGCGCATCATCAACATTATGCAAAAATATAGGAAATGTACGTTGGGTTTTTATTTCTGAATATCGTTAAAGCACGGGACAACTGAACATTATTTGTCAATGCCGGCGGCGTCATAATAGAATTCTTCTTTGACAGTATTGATATCGGCAACATTCGCACGACTGAAGATTCATCTATAAATCCCAGAAGTACGAAAGATAGTTTAATTAGTAATATTTTAGACCGGATGATAGCAGCTGTGGTGTACATGCATTCTTAGTTCATAAATAAACAAAGAGAGAAAGAATCTAGCGTGATACGACAAACAAGCATAGATTCAAACGTAATAGCGATAGTGACGCAAACGTAGAAACAAAGAAAGTACAAACACTGTATCACGTATATCAAGTTTATTCCTAATACGCATGATCTCTATCTAATCTTTAACCCAACCCAATCTTAAGGATGGCCTTGACTATACATCATAAAACAAATATCGACTTGTACATATTAATTTCTACAATTATACTATATTGAGATGTCTTCGCACGTTCACAAAAGCATTGAGCCCACGACACGGCAGTCTTTGTTAAAAATAGTAAAAGTGTCGTGGTTAAATGTGTTATTGATATTCATTCCTTTAGGGTTTTTGGCTCACTTCTTAAAGTGGGGTAATATTGCGGTATTTCTGCTAAACTTTTTTGCTATTATTCCACTTGCAAAATTACTTGAATGTGTCACAGAAGACATCTCTCGTCGTGCTGGACAGGTATAGATTACTTTTATTTGTTTCGAATTTGATGGACATGTTTTAAACTATCCGTTTACTAACGATAGGCTGTGGGTGCTTTCCTGGATGCAACATTTGGCAACTTAGTTGAACTTGTTCTTCTGTGTATTGCTCTTAAACAAGGAGAAATCCGAGTCGTTCAAGCATCCGTGATGGGCAATATTATATCGAATCTGCTTCTTGTCTTGGGGAGTAGTTTTCTTGCTGGTGGTTTAAAGTATCACATACAGGAATTCAATAAGGAAGCGGCACAAACAAATGTTGGCTTGATAACATTGGCGTGTAGTTCATTGATTGTTCCTGCAGCGTTCATTGTTTCCATTCCAGCGATACAAGATTACGAAATAATAAACCTGAGTCATTCTACGGCAATAGTCCTGTTGATTGTCTATGGACTGTATTTGCTATGCCAGGTAAGAACAATTTAAACATTTAATTTTTTATGGACAGCTATTGAGTGGCAAGAAAACTCATAATTGGATATGCGATTAACTATGCTTCACCCCCTCCACACAATCGAATTTGTTTACCATAGTTTAAAACTCACGCTGAATTGTATGCCACCGAGGAAGATCAAGAACCTGAACTCACCCTTACTATTTCCTTCACCGTCCTGGTCGTGGTCACCGCCACAGTCGGCATATGTGGTGAATTTCTTGTATCCTCATTAAAAGATCCCATGAAGTCTCTAGGGATCACCAGAACATTCCTTGGTCTGACACTATTCCCTTTAATTAGTAAGGGTGCAGAATGCGTGACAGCTACTACTGTTGCTATGAAAAATGAACTGCAGTCGGTTATCAATACTACTGTAGCACGCTCACAGCAAATTGCTTTGTTTGTTACTCCATTCTTGGTTGTGCTTGGTTGGAGTATCGATCAGCCGATGACTTTATTTTTCGAAGTGTTCGAAACATCGACGTTGTTTGTTTCGGTGTTGATTCTGAATTCCTTAATTCAGGTGGGTGAATTGATTACGGAATACTTGATTATTTATTTACAACAAATACAACAATAATTTTTTTTTGTTGATAGAATGGTAAATCTAATTGGTTGAACGGTGTATTACTTCTCGTGACATACGCCATCATCACTATAGCATTTTTTTTCTATCCCGATCCTGTTTCTGAGGCACCATAAAATGGGGTGTGCTGCATCCAAGACATATCTATTTACGAGTCTATTCACCCAAAGCGGCAAGACCTTGAATTTTTGACTGGTATCTCCATAATATCTTCACACTCTTCGATTCACCCCGTCTTTTTTATTTCACATTTGTCTTTATGACATGTGTTGGAACACCTCGTTCATGTGGTGCAGACAGCTAAACAAAACAGGCATATGTGATGGTCTTTCTTGACATTGTATAAAAATTGAGTTGTTGATTTAGTATACCTCGGAAAACCGATACTTGCTCAAAACTGAGACAACTCGTAAAACACATATTAGATACAAATCTCGCAAACCTGATAAACCGATTTTTTTTTGGCGATAGCCATAATAGACTGAGCCTCGATAAGCCGATATATAAGGTACATGTACGCATCAAATATCTGTGATTAGTCATTCCCATCTCGCAAAACCAATATCTCGGAAAACCGATAGAAAAAGGTGAGGACAGCCACATCAGTTTTCCGAGGTTTGACTGTAATTGCATTGTCCAGTAAATAGCAAACGGAGGTAGATGTTCTCAAATTGTAGTTCAAAGTTGAAAGAAATCTTTGCCATATAATTACCACTTTGTAATAGTAAGGATTATGGGAACAAAACATTCCAATGCATGTAGAATGCTTTCAAAACAAGGTCTTAACAATCGAGACATGAAAGAAAAGACATTTCCGTAAAACGAAACTTTAAATGCCATCTTCATCATTTTTCCTTTGAATAACATAAAATTCTTATGCATATGCTAATAGACTGACAGTTTAAATCTAGCGCGATACGACAAGATTCAAACGTAATAGCGATAGTGACGCAAACGTAGAAACAAAGCAAGTACAAACACTGTATCACGTATGTCCTATTATAAGTCCATAAACGCATGATAATGATCTCTATCTAATATTTAAGGATGGCCTTGACTATACATCATAAAATAAACATCGACTTGTACATATTAATTTCTACAAATATACTATATTGAGATGCCTTTGTTAAAAATAGTAACAGCGTCGTGGTTAAATGTATTATTGATATTAATTCCATTAGGGTTTTTGGCCCACTTCTTGAAGTGGGGTAATATTGCGGTATTTCTGTTAAACTTTTTTGCTATTATTCTACTTGCAAAATTACTTGAATGTGTCACAGAAGACATCTCTCGTCGTGCTGGACAGGTATAGATTACTTTTATTGGTTTCGAATTTGATGGAGTTTTGCGTTCTGTATTGTCAACACCTACGATTGAACGCTAAAGGTGTTCTGTTTCGAATTTGATGGGCATGTTCTAAACTATCCGTTTACTAACGATAGGCTGTGGGTGTTTTCCTGAATGCAACATTTGGCAACTTAGTTGAACTTATTCTTGCATGTATTGCTCTTAAACAAGGAGAAGTCCGAGTCGTCCAAGCATCCGTGATGGGCAATATTATATCTTGTAGTTTTCTTGCTGGTGGTTTAAAGTATCACATACAGGAATTCAATGAGGAAGCAGCACAGACAAATGCTAGCTTGATGACATTGGCATGTAGTTCACTGATTGTTCCTACCGTGTCCAGTGTTGATTACGGAATAGGAATACACATAGTGTACCTGAATCACTATATGGAGATAGTCCTGTTGATTGTCTATGGACTGTATTTGCTATTCCAGGTAAAAACAATTTAAACATTTAATTTTTTATGGGCAACTATTGAGTGGCAAGAAAACTCATAATTGGATATGCGATTAACTATGCTTCACCCCCTCCACACAATCGAATTTGTTTACCATAGTTTAAAACTCACGCTGAATTGTACGTCACCGAGGAAGATCAAGAACCTGAACCCACCCTTACTATTTCCTTCACCGTCCTGGTCGTGGTCACCGCCATAGTCGGCATATGTGGTGAATTTCTTGTATCCTCAGTAAAAGATCCCATGGAGTTTCTAGGGATCACCAGAACATTCCTTGGTCTGATACTATTCCCTTTAGTTAGTAAGGGTGCAGAATGCGTGACAACTACTACTGTTGCTATGAAACATGAACTGCAGTCGGTTATTAATACTACTGTAGCACGTTCACTGCAAATTGCTTTGTTTGTTATTCCATTCTTGGTTGTGCTTGGTTGGGGTATCATGAATCAGTCGATGATAATGAATTTATTTTTCGAAGTGTTCAAAACATTGACATTGTTTGTTTTGGTGTTGATTCTGAATTCCTTAATTCAGGTGGGTGAATTGATTACGGAATACTTGATTATTTATTTACAACAAATACAACAATAATTTTTTTTTGTTGATAGAATGGTAAATCTAATTGGTCGAACGGTGTCGCGACATACGCTATCATCATTATAGCAATTTTTTTCTATCCCGATCCTGAGGAGGCGATACTTTTTACTTAACTGCTGATGAAAAGTCCCTTTGAGTTTACTAAAACAGCGAAAACTCAGTTTGTAATAAACGTGTTGACCAAACTTTATGTGATTTTTTATCTTGGAGTATTAAAGACATGATAATGTGGTTCAATTTCGATCCTTGTCTAATGACTCGGTGTGTTGTATGGCAATCATTGGGCAATCCAGCTTGTTACCGAGTCCTTAACAAACAAAAAAAGTTAGCTGATGAAGAAAAGAAAAAAAAAACAAGAAATTTTCTCACCAAGCAGGGAGCCAGGCGACAAGTCACTGCAATCAGAAAAGTCAAAGACCGTGTTATCATAATTTCTAGCCCCAGCTACTTCAATGTTTGCAATAATGGCATCCTTTGTTTGACCGGGGACTCCGTATGACGATTAGTGGCAAGCGTAGCAATGTACGGATCTCGCAGAAATTCGGGAAGTTGATCTAAACATCGAGAATACTAGTTAAGTTGGGTTGATAAATTTTTCACAATTTCTGCCTACCTGAGATGCACCTTCTCGCAGGTATCACAATTACAGCGTTGTGAGTACAGCCATAAAACTTGAGATAGAGTTGGAAATGAAAACTTTTTACTCGATTTACTGCGCGTTGGAGGATAAAGGCTTTGATATTTAAAATCAAGATTATGTAATAGTAATAACGACTAGTGGTAACAATAGTTACAGTATATTAGATTATCGTGTACAGCATTCACTTTTCCCACGTCGCCAAAACACCTTTTTACATGTCAGCGCTTGCACATCCGTAAATAAGGATGTATAAGCTTTGATCTCAAAATTGTTATATATGGGGCGGGCTGCAAAACCAGACAAAGCGAACATTGAACGTCATTTTACTTTTTTATGAATAAACCTAGTCTCGGTAAGTCTGCTTTTTCTATTGACAAGTATGGGCAATGCCTGCGGAGCTTGTACAAATATAGTATCCATGGTATTGTAAACTTATAAAATCAACTAAACTCTTACAAAAAGAGTTAAAAGCTGCAAAGCCAACAAACTATTCCATCAAACTCTTAAAATTAAACCAATTTAGAGCAATTCAAACAGAACTGATTAAATTGCTTTGGTTGCTTAATATTATTATTTTTCATAAAAATTAAATTACAACAAAAAAATTTTCCACTTAGTTTCGTGGCAGCCTCTAGCATGATAAGACTTCCAGCACCCCGGATCTATAATTGAATCTCCCGGTTCAGTAGTAGCTTCAACAAAGTCTTAATTAACCCTTGTATTTTTGATACAGGTAATTTCTCTGATTGTTCTATTCTACTACTAGTAGGCTGCTTCTGCACCAAAAAAGCATGCTTGACCTTTAAACTAGATTTTTTGAGTAAGTTTAATTGTTTTGCCATTTTTATTTTTAATTGCTTTAATTTTTTATCAGACCTGTAAATTAAAACAGAGATACCAATGGTTTATTAATAATCAGAATCTAAAATATACCAGATGCAAGAAATGACACATGTTTGATGAAAATCAATTAAACTACAGTGGCACCTCTATAAGTGCATGCTCTCGGGACTCGACATTTGGGGAGGATGTGCACTTATAGAACAACAATAGAAAACCAGAAAACTGTTGACTAGCACTTTCTCTGGGTCCGTATTATTTCATTTCACCGACGGTACATTTCACCGACAATTAACTACAAAAAAAGGATAACTTCGAAATAATGTTGGTGAAGATTTGTCGGTGAAATGATTGTCGACGAAATGATTGCCTCTCCTTTCTCTTCATTATCTTATTATCAAAATTATACTATCACATTGAAATCAGATTACACTTTAAGAAAAATATGTGTCAATGTTAGTTTGACACATTGAGCTGACTTCAACAAACTCAATATTTTGTAAAGAGATTATAATTTTCCGCATTGTCTTGTTGTAAAAGAAAGGCTCATACTATTTCCAAGCTAGCAATTGCTGTGCTAGCAGGACTTTCCTCACTATCGTCTATGTCGTCTACATCCGTAATCGCTTGATCAGTATCCTTAGAGAGATATACAAGTTCGTGGTCGTTGTCGGGAACTTCATAAATAATATTCTTCAGGAATGTCGAGCAACTATTTACGACAATTATTCATTGTATTGTTGTGGCGTTTATGTCATCTTCGCTTAATTTAGAAAATGTGATTAAAAATTTTACTACTTTAGCATATCATAATATTAAAACAATCTTGACTATTTATAAAATTCGGACTAGTAATGCGCGATCAATAATCAGAGTTCGTGAACGTAATTTTACAAAAGCGAGCAATAATATGGAGTGATTACATAGAAACATTGACATTCTCTTTGGTCACTCCGGTGCGAAGTCTAAGGTTTACTATCTTCGCTATGTTGTTATTATTATCGATAATATTACCCTCGCTGCTATAAAATTGTTCTTATTATATCCTTTGCCCAGTTTCACATTTTCTTCATCGACCCGTCACTAATTGCCTTTCTGTTTTTTTCTTCGTGGGAATTGTATTCCGTAGATAAATAAAAGTGGAGGCAGACAATTTCTTTTCCCGATTATGTGAAATTGTAGTTTATGTGAATTTTCTATTGATACAAATATATGATCTTACGTGTACCGCACTGCACTAGTTCTAGTACCCTTTAGTACCCCCCAGTATAGTAAAACAAAGTCGCATAAAGTGACTGTTTATTGAAAGCACAAAAGTAATATCAGTCGATTTTTCGGATATAAATAAGTCCAGTTTGCAAGATAAGACAATAAAATTTTAATAAAGGCAAGTAGTATGGCTACAAATTACAATATTTATCCTTCAGCTTCATGCTTGAGCTCATGCTGCTAATGCTATTAACTATGATCTTTTTCGAGACTTGCCCATTTCTCCCTAGAAAAAAAAGAAAAGAAAAAGACATTTTCAATACGCTTCAAAAAGCCCAGACATTTCCATCAGGTTAAGATCTAGACGGACTCGCCGCGAAAGACGAGATTTCAAGACGTGATTTATGTTTGCTGTTGAAAACAAATTACATTTGAATTGCGGTTTTCGTCAGAGAAACCTCCCAAATTTATTCTAATCGTAGTGCAAGTAATTACGTGCCCAATGTTAAGGTTGCGATGGATAAGTACGTCGCTGCATAGTCTTCAATTCTTCAGATGTCGTGTAATGATTATAATTCCAATTCAAAGAGACTTGGCAAGTTCATATAAAATTTGCGTTTATATTTAAATCTGCGACTGCTATAGTAAACAAACAACCAAAACGGATACAACGATGCTATCAACAAAAAGCAAAGTCGTGTACCTATCGCCTTTATTTTTATAAACATTCTGGTGGGATAAGTATCTTAATCGATGTAATAGCTGGAAATGTAAATAGCAAAGCCTGCCCTCAAAGAAAAGGGGGGTCAGGAAGAAGTACAGGTATGCAACCTTGTTGAAGAAACATATTGTTAGTCACATGATACCAGAAAAAGTTTATCGACGTGAATAGGCATTACCAATATTTTTTATTGGAGTAATGTAGATGGATGTTTATAACTCGAGAAGAAATTGATGATAGAGTCAATATATAGAAATTAAGTCCAGGTGGCTATGTATTACTTTATTAGAATTAAATGTCAGTTATATCCTGACATTTGATTGTAATAACGTAATATTTACGTGATATTTTCTAATAGTTATCAAATGTCTAAGTAGGTATAGTATTCGTTTATTAATCGGCACTTAATTTTCTATCTAATCAACAATATTAATACTGGAATTAACTATGTGAAATACTATGAATTCTAATGAACAACTTCCGCATACGCTTCACTCGCAGCAGCCAGCAATGCACTCAAAGCCGTCTCTCTGCAAACTCTCATATCTTGATCCTCTCTCACCCTCTGCACAAACCCATTGATAATATCGCTTATCTTCATTTTCGCCGGTCGAACAACAGGTCTCGAACTTGATACTGCACGTAAGAGAGGCGTTTCGATCATATCACTCGGAGCGTAGTCATAGTCAGCCATGGTTGCATGCTGAACAAGGGGGAACTTTTTGATTTGTTCTTGATTCGGCACAATCGGTTTCGATGTGCCCTTGCGAAGATGGAGAGGAATGTAATCGGTTTGTTTCTTTTGACCTGCATTTTTACGACGGTTTCTTCGTAATCCGCTTTTGTGTCCTCCTGCTGATACCGAAAAACCTCTACCTCGTCCTGACCGTCCACTCGATGCGCGTGTTTGATTTGATCCACTACCGCTTATCATACGTCTTCCAAATCCATCGATATGGCGTCCTCGGGATCGTCCCTTCCCACGTCTGTGTAAAAACTCTCCACGGTTATTACGATTACCTCGTTTGAAAAAATAGGGTTCAGCAGCCTCTCGAGCTTTGGCTGACGCTTTTCGTTGTCTTGCAGGGCGTCTGCTTGCTTTTCGTTTACTCTCTTCGACATCCTTTGGTAAGATGCTTTCTGGAAGGGAGAACTCGCGTGTAGGGCAATTAAAGTTTATAGCCGGGAACAGTGATAATTGTATTCTGTGTGATGTTGATAATGACAACGATGAGGATGTTGACGTTGACGTCGATGATGCTGAAGCTGAGGCTGAAGCTGTTGATGACGATGACGATGACGGTGACGACGATGACGGAGGTGGTGATGATTCCATTACGGATGAGGGTATAGAATTAGAAGGAGGTGCAGTGGAGTTAGATGGTGGTATTGGTGTTGGAGAGGGTGCGATTATGTTATCTGCTGAAGATGGTGTGGGAAGCGGTTGAGGAGTTCTCGTTGGTGTTGGCGTCGGAGTCGGAGTCGGCGTTGGTGTTGGTGCAGCCGGAGTTGGAGTAGAAGTTTGGGACGAAGGAACTGTGTTTGCGGAAGAGAGGGATGATATGGCTTAATAATAAATAAACGTAAAAGTTGACGCAAATTATAGTTAATTCATTGGCGCAGCATGAATTGATAATTTTATGATCATGTCGCTCGCGCAACGAAAAGGTATAGCTTCAAGTATTATCATCCACTGCCATCACAGTAATCCATCATATTTATAATCAAATTATCCACACTATAGTCCATAATCATAGTTACATCCCGACCCAATCAACCTTCTCAATAATCTACTCCCTCTTTATCATCTCCGTACGAATACTCCATTGCCAAACACACAACCCGACCCGACCCAACCAATACTCACTCGTCATAGCTGCTAAAGAAGCTGACGCAGCTTCGATAAGACTTTTCATCTCCTCAGGCGAATTCGACGCCTGTGCAGCCGAGATTGATTGCTGAGCAGCGTTGATTGATTCTAAGGACTGAATCCTTTTCGTTCCTTGATTACGTGTAATAGGTGAATTTGATGAGGTTGGGAGTGGGCCGTTGGGTCGTTGAGTAAACTGATGAGAGGAAAAACGAATTTAGTAGGTAATCGAGAGAAAAAACGATGTAAAAAAGATGCAAGGATAGGGGATGGCACACCTTTATTCGCAGTTTTGGCATTGTCAGATCGAGATTTCGGGGATAGTTGTTTCCACGTTTAGACAAGTTTCATAACTTGGACTCGCTGGCAAAGCCGTTTGCAACCCTATTATAAGTCTTTCTCCTTAAGCTTACACAAAAATACTATCTTGCTCAAGATAAAATCGACTTGGTTCGAATACCTTTCCCACAACATATGGGGCGTGCTGCAAACCAGAACAAGTGCATGGCGCCACAAATGGATTTCAGGGTTCAAAATTTTAGTGAGCCACACCTTTCCACCCTATCTTGTTCCATTATCTATAAAAGTCCCTAGAGGCATACATTTACTTGAACTATCAAATCCTTGATAGAGCTTGGCATTTTAATTGCTCACACTAGTTTTGATGTAGGTTTTGTCCCCCGATAATACGATAATCGACATTCTATTTCTGTCTGTGTCTATGAACACTTTCAAGAGTATGCGATGATCGTCACGCTCTAAGGTTAGCGCTAAATTGAGCCATTCCGACACAATTTACAACAATGCCTCTAATTAATTTGTTTGATATTAATATTGGTTCCTAACCAGGTAGTTGCTTCCACGCCTTTACTTTGACTCAACACGCTCCATTCAAGATAGGAAGATGGGGGATACTGTAACATTAGAGATATAAGACTTGGGCGTTGCAATTTCTCGGAATATAATATAATTATACAGCTATCTTCAGATCTTGTATTTAACTTTATATTGTCGGTACTATTCTAACCTCGTTGCTAGGTACGTTTCCTTTCACAGGAAAGAGGTTTAATGTAAAAAACGCGTTAGTGTGCAATAGGAAACATTCTAACTAAATTCGGAAAAATAAACAAATAAGATTTTACTCATTTAACAAACACGCACAGCTAGAAACCATTCGTCTAGCAAATTAAATCGGCAAATATCATGTAAGGCAAGCCGACTAAAATGTCATCATGGAAACACCATCTTCCTATAAACAGAAAAGAAAGGCTGACATCTGGGACGAGTACAAGCCAAACCGAAATTTTAGCTCAACCAGTAAGAGAAATAAGCAAGGCAGTTATTTAATACTGCGACGGCTCGATCTGCATGCTGTTCAATGTGTTTTTACCAAGACATTTGTTAAGGTAAACAAATCTGCTGAATCAAAATTACGTAAATTACATCACAAGAGAACGTTGGAGAGTATGGCGTATAAACAGGCAAAAGATAAGTCTCGTACTCTAAAACCTTAAACGAAACGATGAAATGTGGAGTAAGAAGAAGGTATGTTAACTTGAAAGCAATGTTGCTTCTGTGGCTTGCATAACAATCAGAGGTAATATTATAAACTATTCGCATTTTCATAGGGAATGTTAGTAAATTTTACCGTAAACTCTTGAAACACGTGATTATTAGTACCACTCTAACATTTGGTACAAAAATGCACATCAAAAAACTACATTAATGTTCGCGTCAACAAACTAGGATTTAACGCAACTTAGGGCTTATCGGTAAGGTAATCTAGTAGACGTCAGCAAAGTGTAATTTTTCCAAAGCATGACCGGACTCTGCAATTTAATTAGAAAATTTTGCAATAATAATAAGAAATATTTAAATAAACCAGTTTACGACATAATTTAGCAATTGTAAAAAACCTTTGTCAGTTATTATTATTAGTAAATTATTCCGCAAATTAAGATATTTTAATTTATGTTCGGATATGATTTAGTTAGGTGGACATGAGTTCACATTTTTTTATGTGAAAGTGCATGAAATTAAGTTTCTATCTCCATATATTGTCTTTATAAAGCTTTCTAATCGCGTTCGATATTTTTTACATTTTATGATGGGTCAAATATAGTCGTAAACAGGTACACGGATGGAACCAAAGCAATATTGCCACTTCAACTATATTATTAGGAGCATTAAGACTTTCACAATCCTCTCTGAAGCTGAAGACCCAGCATTTCGTTCAAGGTCCAACTTGGCTAACTTTTGCTTCACATCCTTTTCCCCAAGTTTGTCTCATAATATTCATTCTTTGGAGAGTTGCAAGATTTACAACTTTTCATTGGCCACTTTTTTTTCAATACGCCTACCCGTTCATCACTGAAATTTGAAACCAACTCGAGGTGTCTTTGTAATAATTTATAGTTGTACCCGTGTGTGTTATATACAATGAAAATATACAGTATTCTTTAATCCGAAAATAGTTATCGGTCGGAGGTTTCGTGCTTTTCTTGTTCTGATTGGCATATTAATATGCTTCAAAGTTAAAATACATTGCTAAAAAACAGTCGGATATTTCACAATTATCATGTGGAGGTATGTTTGACGGGACTAAAGTAGATATCGATATTACTGATTATTGAAAGTCCGTGTTTTTTAATAATATGGCTCCATAATATCAACACACCAGTTCTCCCATCGTATATTTAGAGCTACCGTTTACATTGTCTCTTGAGCTCCGCATCTACGCTTACTTTCAGTGAAATGATTAGGAACTAGCTTGCTTATATTGATATTCATTTTGCTGTTGATTAGTTATGGCAAGAAAAAAGAGCTTAGTAAATTGTCTCGGTTTTTGAAATCCAATGCGTCATCCTCGACGCGCGTATCAGTATCGGTATGTAGCGAGGTATTCGGCAAATTGCAGCAGTCATGTGATGTGTCAAACTGGACGTACCAATATTTCAACCACATATTGCGCTTTATATAAAACTTCGCAATGCCTTGACTGTAGATAGGGCCCCGTTAACAAGGTTGAAGTAGTGGGAAAAAGAGGTAAGTATTCGACACAAGCCTCCAGCAGTTAGCAATTTGCAAACAAAGTTTAGAAGAAGGGAAACAATGGATGCATATCATAGCAATGAGTGGTCGTCTTGTTTATTTGCTCCACTGTGAATGAAATATCATATTCATTCTAGTTTTAATATTGTTCTCAGTTTAAAATAGAGATACAATCCAAGACAGATTAATAATCACGTATGATAAATGCAGCATAGATACATTACCAAGTCAAAAGTTAAACTACAGGTAATTGCTTTGATGTCATAATCATGCCAGAGAGAGTCAACTCGTAAGTAAATATATTAATCAAAACAATTCTGGTCCTATGCCACAAAGGCCAAGTATTTCCTTCCAATAAAAAACTTCATAGATTATAATCTGAAAGAGGTTATTTGCTTAGTTGCAATTCTGAAAGTGAAATGTAAATATGCGCGCGTCAAAAACAATAAACTCACCAATAACGCCCACTACGTCTACTTCCATTTCTATGCTCATCTCTCTCTTCATCCGCAGCCCTTCTCGAATGACCGTGTGAATGACGACCATGATACGGCCCACGATCGTTCCTTCTGTCATATCTTGATGAACGTCCCCTTGGTGATGCCGAGCGCGACCTGGAGTTTTTGAGCAGAGTATTCTTCGTGAATTAAAATTCAAACCGGGCATACGTTGAATTCCTTCCTGCCAGTTTGATGGTCGGATTGTCATTGTCATGTTATCCGCATAGACCATGCGAGTCTCGGATGGTACTGCTGTCGTACTCAAACGTCGGCACATCTGTATATATTCCGGATAACTCAATAACGACCATCATGACCACGGTAAATACTGTTACGGATATTCGGATTCTATATTATCGGCCACTGAGGTTTCATTCCAATTGGACTGCAACGGAGCGGATCACGGAGCAAATGGCCATTTTTTGTGTAGACTAACTTATGTAACCTAACGAAATTATCCTTTTTCATGACATTTCGAAATGTAAAACGAACAGGGAGGAGCAATATGAAAGGAAAAGGAAAAAAACCAAATATGTGCAAAACAAACCTTCTTCTGGGACTTCGACTTCTATGTTTATGATCGCGACCCAAGTGACAGTCTTTAGCCCAATGTCCTTGTAAGCATCCAAGACTGAGTGAGCTACATGCACCCCGAATAAGTCCAATTGCAAATGACAAATAGCGAAATACCTTCTTTCCGACACTTGAAACATTCATTCTCGCCTGCCATTACGGCGTGTGAACAAAAACTCGTCACTGCGTATAGAATTGTATGTAAAACAATGCTGCACATTAATATCATGTCTCACCGACCTGGTTTTCGTCCTCCATTTTTCGCCCATTCGACTATAATTCTATGGCCATGTATTCGCTAAAGGGAGTTCCAGCAAGGCGTTAAGACTACATACAAGCAATGACTTGTTGTGACGAGCTCCGCATACTTACTATGCCATCAGCTTCTTTCAGTGCATCTTTTGCGTCTCGTTCGTCCTGATAATGAATAAATGCGTAGCCTCTCTTTAACTCTAACCGAGTCATGCGACCATATCTGTCAAATATATCTTCGAGATCGCGTCGGTCAGTGTCGATGGCAAGTCTATTGAGACAGGTTGATAGTATATAGTGAGTTTATATTATTGTTGCATAGAAAAGCTGTGAAAGCTTGTTCAGAAGTTTCTCGATTTGATCTATACCTGCCGATAAAGAGAGACATAGTGTAAAAGAAACCGAAAAAAAGTAGGGAAGACGAGAGCTGGGGTGGGCTTATGTATGACTAATTTTCAGGTCACGAGCACAGCGTAACAATAACAGGCTCAATCAGAATTCAGCTTGCATTATCATGCTTGTCTTCTTGTAAAAAAAAAAAAAAAGCTTTTCGTACTAATATTCGATGCCTGGCTTCTTGCGGCGAACATACAGCCTACAAGACATAGAATTCGCTTTGCTTGCTTTCTTCATGGATTCGGTACGAAATTGTCCGCTGTGTTCGTCCGCTGTATGTCTTTACTCAATCGATTTCAACTGCAGATTTTACATGTGCGAAAATAGAGAGGTAACCGGTTTATAGTAATTTTTACAGGCTACCGATCGTTGACCATACATCAAGTATGGAGTTTTCTCTAACAAATAATATCTATTGTTAGTGCTCATATCCTTTTGGAGGTTCAGACTTTGAGGACTTGATGACGACCGATTCTTTAGAGACGAACGGCAGTGCAGCCGAGGCGATAAATGTGATAGAAGACTCCCAATCTAGCGATATAATAGCGGAGATAACAGCAACTACTTCGCCAGAGTCTCTACAACCGATAACACCCAAAGAATTTACAGATATCCCCATCTTCGATGGTGACTTATCGGTAAATATCGATCTCCTAACACTGTTAGGAGCCACTCCGTTACCGGATTCGGTTGAAGGATCTTCGGAGTCTTGTGTTAAACTATTCGATGAATCTTTTTTGAAGGAATTTGGTATTAATTTATTAGAGCCTGCGCATTTCATCGAAGGACACGAAAGTACGCCGTTTGTGTCCGAGGATCAGCGCAAAATGCAAGAAGGATCCATTATTGAAAGCTTTGATTTTGGTTTGGACAATGTGAACATGAACACTGAAGACGAGAGTGTCTCACTAGAGTTGCCATGAGGGGTTTTCTTTTGGTGCTTACCAATTGTCTTGCTGTACCTGGGTAATTATTAAACACTCGAAATGTCTTATCTTTCCTCCACTATAATACATAGTCTAAAATATTACGATTTCGGTAGATGTATACATACATATCTTAATAGAAAAATTCGAGAATAAAAAAAAAGTCTGCTTTGTGTAAGTATATGCAGCAGGTAAACAAACACAACGAGCGATACCCAAACTTTATAAAATATGATCTAACAGAATTACGCAAGTAATATTATTTGTACACGAAAGATAGGATAAGCCAAGAAGTACTGAATGTGAAAGGCAGAAAAAGTACTCTCGATACTGATGACGCACATTGTCGTGTGATCGCATCTGTCCGGTCGACGGTACCATTGAATATATGGCAGTCAATATGGCAAAGCATATAATATAATGCATGACAGCGTCTTGCAACCTCACTCTGCCTCTAATATTATCTTGAAGGCTATAATGGACATATCGCCAACAGTTATGAAAAAGATACGACATATCAGCTCGGTGCAAACATTTAATTCTTGATCGGTAATGAAATATTGTTGTAATTACCACTACGACTCGGAAGATAATTCCACTTTATTGCAGGTAATGTTTCGTTAGTATCTTTTGTCAAACTCAAATTTATGATGATATCTTCATCACGACGGTCATATTAGACATACATTGCCGATGATTAAAATGCCTAATGGCACTCCACTGACGATTGTTGTGTCAACCATTTCTCTTCTTAATGAAAGGCTATTTCTGATGTTTACTTTTTTTTTCATATCGTAGTGTGGGATATATGCAGTATATCGTGATAACGTATCGACCAGCTTGACCGCGGAATCTCTCAGTTTTAGAGATATTTGAAATCTGATTGGTTGAATGCAGAGAATTCGTGACACTTTTACCGGCAATAAGAATCAAGGCTGACGGTAGAAATACACTTTTACGAGTATATACTTTCAGAATCCACAGGATTCACGCAACCTTGCAAGGCCCGTTCCTTCTCAAGTCAAGTTCAAAGTTTCACAGAGTTGAATAACGAGTTCGAAACTTGAAACCAAAGATCTACCTTGTATATCAATTCTCCTTCCAAGGATGGTCAGTTAGCAAATGCGAGACGAGAGAGAATCAAGGTGGCGACATGCATTGGCTAATGCAGCAGTGAAAAGACTAATAGAAATAGTTAAGTGTTTTCCTGAACTGTCTTTATTGCTTGACTCTTTAGAAAGGTACAATCACCGGGAAAAAGTAAAAACAATGCCTTTAAATAGAAAGAGATGGAATAATCGGGCAGTGGAAAGGTCCGCGAGATTGCTGAGCTTTCACAGCTGCAAGTTACCCGTGCGATTAATACGTTTCGTGACAGCCAACAGACAACAGTTTAACCTAGGGCCGAGATCAATGTCCGATCGAAACATGCGCTACTTAGCTCAAGAAATTTGAAAAAATAGGCCAAATTACAGCTGACGAACTTGCACAACGGATGATTGAATGTTTAGACATTTCGGTTACTGAACGAACTATTCGAAGTTATCTTTATGAAGCTGGTTTTCACAGTCGTGTTGGGAAGAAAACCCTTATTTCCGAGAATAATCGTAAAAAATGGCCTCAGCGGTGCCGGGAGCGAGCGGTGTCAAATGTGTCAAAATTGTGTTACTTAGACGTAGATCGCTCCCATATATCGAAATCCAGTGTCAAAATAGCGGGACCGGAACTACCAACGGTGGAACGTTTGGTGTTGAATTATTCATATAAAAAAAAGAGATCTTTTATGTGAAAGGCATTACAACCAGATATCGTCAAAAGGTCTGTTATTAAACAACTCTAAACCGATAACTCAGATTCGAAAGCTTACCGATAATAATGACGAATTGCAAGCTCGATCTACTTGAAAAAGTTTTTCCGATTTGGAGTTCAAGTATCTTTATTAGATCCAGCGTACAAAATGCTTTTGAAAAGGATTGGCGAGTTGGAAAACATTAATAGACAACTATCATCAGAAAACGACGCACTGAAAAGACTGTTAGACGAAAACACTTCGTAAATATTGACGAGCTGATGCTTTTTTTGATAGACAAATACGTCATTGTCATAAAAAAAAGGTATGCTGATCTTCAACCGGCCGGTCCTCCCTCTGGAGGACTTGATAAAAACGAACAAGATCGCATTAAGGCTCAATGCTGGACTAACGTATTAAGGCCTGATCGACAAGTTAATTGAAGAACTAAACTTTCGGATCGACATCAAGGTCATGACGCAATACTGGAAGAGATTAACAACGGCATTGGGAGATTGCAGCACGTAATATCAAATTTTTGAAATTGCGTACATCATTGCTGAATTCCATCGATTTGGGTTCGAATAAGAAAACACAACTTGTAAATGATGATTGTGGTTTCCAATAATAATAAGCGGAGAATGGATGTTAAGGGAAGAGATGAAAAAATTTGGTGAAATTGCGCGCACAAAAGGATAGATTTTATTAAAGCGAAGCTAATTAACGAAATATCATAAGCCTTTTTTTGCAATTAATTGTAAAGAAGCAGATCATCAGAATTTATTAAATCTTATCCCTTATCGGCTTTAGGTGATTCGTAGCGATGGCATATTCTTAACTGTATTATACAACCAGATTTGGTACATGGCGCTAATTTCATAGCAGGCTTTATAGGCATAATTAATTATTTGCTATAACAGCGCTCTCACTAGAATAAAGGTGTAGACGAACAGCTACCGTGACACAATTTAGGAAAATATTCCATATTAAGAAGTGTGTATATTTTTGGCCTCATATGCCATATATGGAGTGAGCATTTAGTTACATGTGACTGATTAACAGCATATTTATTAATTCATCCATATCGTTTGTTTCATTACGTTCATTTCTTGCCTGAAAACTGTTGCCGTAACTCTGACCCAGAGCAAAGAGGTTGTGGAGTATTGCGTTCAGGTTTGCATCAACGACTAGTCTGCATTTATCATCCATGGGCTGTTTATTGCTTGCCCATTGCTCTTTCCTATCTTCTTGATATTAAAATCAAAGAATGTTTCTCTGAAGAACGCGTTTAAATGCTCGACGGGGGCAGTATTACACAAACCAAAATTCGCGTAACAAACCCACTTCGACTAGTTTATTTCTCTCGGCTAGCATCGTTATGACGAACTGCAGAAGGACTTGGTGTTTCACGTGGTGACGAGGTTGATAAAACATAAGACAACATGTTCGAGCAAAGTTATACTGTTGCATGACGGAAAGTTTGATTGTTGCATTACCAATGCACAAGATTCACAACCGAGGTTATATTTGAATGGGACCCGATAAGCCTGTTTGGGAAAGGACTATGATGTAATTGTTAAGAGGAAGAATTCAGACCAATTTAGAGGTATTGGATTGAGTCTTGGTAGGAATTTGGCAGAGCTCGGTGGTTATTTTATTTTTCGTCCCTTCTTCATAGACATTCGCAAAATATGATAAAGACCAAGACAATCTGTATCATGTCGACTTTTGAACTTAAAGCTGTACAAACAGAAATGCTCTCATTGTAAAACGGGTAAATAACTTAACTATTTCATTTTCATAGTCTTATATATAGTATAATGTAAATTTATTTGTTTCAGGTCTGGCTCAGTGAGTGGTGCTTCAATAGTTGAAAGTCGACAAAAACGCTCGAACTAATATTTCAGCCCTCTCAAACCTTTCTCGTTTGGCTTGTCTCCATACTCGGAGACTCTTATCGAACGTTTATTCAACTTACCCAGACGATGAATGAATACCGATTCCAGTAGTGCTGAATCTTATCCTCCTAGAACGCGACTTGGGAAATAAGTTACTGCCTGCTGCGTTTTCATTGACGTCTGGAAACCTAAAATGAACTCTTTAATTGACAGAAAGACTGTCTGTTTGTTGGTCTTTAGCTCTGATAGTCATCGTTAGAGGAGTATGTTGCGAGGAACAGAAAAAGATATGGCCAATATTACCAATAACGAGAGGAGGTGAACGAAAGAGTTTAAGAATACCAATGATGACCGTTGATTCATTACTAAGTTTCTGGGCGGTCGATTTGGTACTGTCAAGCACTATATGCAGTTCCACATCAAAGCGTTCACTCGTGTGTTCTCGCTCTTTATGCATCAGATTTAATCTGCAGTAGACTTGTAGAAGTACCCGTGCTGATTGATTCTTGAAAGAAAATCCATATCCCAGTTTAATACAGAATATTAATCCCTCCAACCGTAGATTTGAAGTAGACCAAGTAATTATCTTATTGACTACTTAAAATAAGGTCATATTATTGAAAAGCCTTTTATTTCAACTGCGCGTCAGTAATTACTGTTTACATTCCTATTTAGTCAGAATACTCAATTAATATTAAACATGTGTCTATATTTAAGTTGCAACTAGTCCTGACTAATGGGACAATTTAATTTGTTCGAATCTATTACTGTTGAAACCCTTGTTCCAAAATCTGAGTCACTAGATTACAAGATAATGGACAATGTAATATTTGTAAATTGACTTTTATCTTAATATTATTAATAATCAACATGTAACCAATTCTTGTCTTCATACCTGCAGCTGAATCCAAACCATAACTGTTTGCTGGTTTAGGCAAATCTCCAGTAGGTAAGAGCTTACTAGAGTATTTACTCTCCTTCTCGAGACGTGATAAGGGTTTTACATCATTATGATAAATGGCATTCCACATGTCACAATTGTCCTTGTCTACCTCTTCAGTAAGCCTGTGAATATCAATATAAAGCGTCCATGCATCTGGACGCTTATCAGGATCAGCATCACAACACTGCTTGGCAAGTTTCTTGTATTCCTCTGGTGCGGAATCAG